TTGGCCATTTGAAAGCGATCTGTTGCCACTGCTTCAAATAGAATAATTATCATTTTCTCGCAGCAGCGTGTTTCCATTCAGTAAAGCGTAAGATATTTATCTTTCAAATTTAATCTTTCTGTAACTGACTAGCAAAGCAAGCAATTGAAAAGCAATAAACTCAGTGTTTAAAAATATATTTTCTGCTTTATAGTCTGATTGATTTAAATAAAAATGCATTTAATTCAAGAAATGTTTTAAAATATTAAATATGTTTATGAAATAACACTAGCTGGAATCATTAAAAACATTTTATACTTTTTTTTCCTGTTTTATGATAACTTTTTAGACGGCTGATTGCTCGACTGATTAGTTCTCAAAGAAATAAAATATCGAATATAAACAAAAATCCCCTAACACTTAATAGGGAGTTTTGAAAATATGTTGGTTTTGAACATTTTTTTTTTATTTTGCTCTTTAATTTTATTTGGTATATGTGCGAAGAAAGTGATGCTTAATAATAAAGCTAAAAATACAAAAAAAGTATGTCAGCAGAAGTGAGTCCAAGAGCAGATTGGTAACCTCCGATGCTCAGTGATAGCATAAGAAACCTTAATCTTAAAATCTTGAGTTGTCTATTAATTTGAGTCGCAGTGAAAAGATAAATTTAACCCCTTTTTGGACACAGTGTTACCAGATAGTGCGATGTTTCGCAAATTTGCGACTTTTGACAAACTTGTGCTACTAAAATTTTAGTATTTGCGAAATTTTTGCGACGTCCATCATTTTCTTATGCTACTTTTTGCGACATCAAAGATTTTTTTAATATATCTTAGAATGCTTAGTAAAACACAGAATTATGTGCCTTTATACTAATAATTACGATTTGAGTGCTCGAGAAATTTTGTTTTTAAGACAATCCTCCCTCATTTCTATGGTCATAAGGAATCGAACAAAAGAACCCTCAGGTTGATCGCCGTATATTGGGTACCCAAACAGAGGAAGAAATAAAATTCATCCTCCTGATTATAATATTGCTATATTGATAACTAAGTAATAGAAATGACTTCAAAATGAAAGCAACTTGCATTCTTCTAAATAACAACGCAAATAAATTTAGCAGTGAAATAACAAATAAGGCTTTCTTAAGTAATTAGTATCTGAAATAAGTCACCACCCAAAACGGAAAACTCACTGCAAAGCTTTCCTCAATTAAAATGTTAAGCAGTTAACACAATTAATCAAAAAAAAACCCACCGGATTAAACAAATTAACTGCCAACTCAGAAAATTTAGTACAAAAGCGCTAACCATCTAAACGTGAGGAATATCTTACAAATTAATTTAAAAACAGAAATCTAAATTAAGTGAGAACTAATTTCAAAAGGAATGGATATTTAAACAATTGAAAGTGAGCAATATAGTTTTAAAATTTCCGTTAAAGCTAAGATACATATAATTAAAACACCTAAGCATCGAAGAAACTATGACGTCAATAAATTACGTGATCTCTGACGTCATTTGCGAATTTTTGCGAATTTTTTAGTCTGCTTTTGCTACTTTACCTCAAAATTTCTGGCAACACTGTTTGAACATGTTACTTACAAGAAATCGGGGATTAGTTGCTACACGGTTTTGCGATATTCTAGCTTTCAACGAACTCTAATTTAGCTAGGATATTACAAACAAATGTTTCTGTATTCTAATCACATATTGTAGCTACTCGGGCATCTGCAACATAACACTTTTCTTGTAAATTTCTTCCTTTATATTTCTATTAGATTAGGTATTCAATCTCTTACATACCATTCGATTTTATAAACGTGTTCCGATTTAAATAAAAATTGTTTCTCATTAAACGTCTTAGATTGGTATTTTGTCAAAATATGATTTGGTCTCCAAAAAATTCTTTTTTAAAAACGCATTATTAAAAAGTATTGCGCTGAAAAGGAAAGTTGATTCCTTGTCAAATAAAAACTAAATTATTCAATAGAATTTTAAATGAATTTGAACATTCTGCATGAACTCAGTGTTTATATGTTATCAAATTAGTTCCTTAAAAGCTGGTTAAATATCCATTAGTTTATATTTGAGCTAAAATTTTAAAGTGTTTATATTTCAGTTGGAACATATTCTAGAAAGAAGCAGCATATTCCTTAAATTAATTTTGTCTCACGTGAAAACTAACTAAATTAACCTATTCTATCCTTAAGAAAGACCTCAAGCAGTCTGTTTATAAGTATAAATACGTAGATATATGTAGTACTCATTACTGCGAATTTGAAGAATATTATACTTAATAGTTTCTATGCCGCACAAATAATACTGTTTCATATACCTGTAATAATGTTTATCTTTACATGAAGCTCTTTGGAAAGTTTGGAATCTTTCGTATCTTCCAAAACATTGCAGATCATAACACTCTTCAAAATAAAATTATATTGATTTTCTTTCTCTATATCTCCTTCATTGATCAGAATGAAAATTAAGTTTAGTTTCATTGCTTTGAGACAATGTATCTTCCCCCACGCCTACCTTTCCTTCTGTGCTGGGAGTCGTTGTGTACACAGAGAAGGGGGTGTCTCGAGAGATTATCTCTCCCCATTTTCCGGATGAATTCTTTTCCGTCGTATGGAAGACAAAAAAGGCCAAGAGGGGCCTTTGGGCCTAAACAGCGCGAAAATTGGAAAGCCCGCGGCTGCATTATTGCGCTTCGAATTCGATGTGACAGCGAGCGTTCTTGGATATTGTGGTTTTGGTTGTGGTCCTTTTATTTTTTCGGAACTATAATACAGCCCGCAGTTCTGTAGCGAATGCTACAGAGTGGCATTTTGCCGATAATAGATCAGCAAGTGAGCATTTCTGTTGTTTCGAGGAACTTTATTTTATTCAACTGCTGTCTTTTCACATAAAGTGGACAAGGAAAGATAAAATATTATCATTTCAAATATAATGGTTTCTAGAATGAACTTCTTTTTTTTAAAGAAAATGAATGCATTAAGTTATACAGTAGAGTTGAAACAACGATATGTTTCGAACTAATTTTCAATACATTTTACATGTGGCACTGGGGACAGAAAATACTTTTAGAAACATAAGAAATAAAATTATAAAGCCTTTGTTATACCAAAAAGGGGATTATTTGCTATATCTCAAGAAATTTTTCAGCCAGTAGTACACTGAATGTACATGTGCAACGTGATAAGGTATTTCCCTCTTTTCTTCATGCCTTCGTGGTGTAACGATAGCGCACTCATCGCGTATTCGAAACGTCTAGGTTCGAGTCCCGTCGAAGACATTTCTCATGTATCCAGCTTCCAAATAACCTAATAACTCTACAGTAGTTCCCAAACTAAAACAGTGGTGGGCGATGATTCTCCACCACCAGGATTTGGCGATTGGGACCCCTAGTCTCAAGTCGACCTTTAAAGGGGAGAGTATATAAGGTATTTCTCCCGCCTTCTAGCATGCCTTCATGGTGTAATAGTCAGCATAATCAGCGCATATCCGAAAGGTCCGTGGTTCCAGTCCCGGCGAAGACATTACTCGCTTTTCACGTATCTAGCATCACAATAACCTAATGTCTTTGCAAATGAAAACCAGGCATTCAATTTTAAAATAATTAAGAACTAGTTGACGTTACTTTATATGACATCAGATTTTTAAGTCGAATCGTAATTATTGCCCAGCTGAAAACGTATTTTTACGTGAGATTGGATCCTTATTTGTAAATATGCATAAAATAATCACACCGGTCAAATACTGTGTAATAAATTTTTTATGTGCTGCACCTTCTCAGCTCATCGAGCTTTTTAATACAGTCATGATCAAATTACGCAATACTAACTTGCTTCAAACTGATTGTAAGAAGAAACAAACAAAAGTCTGTCTTTAAAAGTCTAGGTTCAGTACAATAAATTCTCCAAAGAATATACTTCACTATTTCTCTCCAAAACCTTGTCTTCTTTTGGAAATTGGAAAAATAATATATTTAATATGTAATTTCTTTTCATATTCGATGCAATCTTTCAGCTCTTTTCTGAATGGGTTATAAACAATTATCTTAGTAAACTTAATTCTTCGAGTTATTTCCTAAAATCATCTTAAGGTGAATTATAAAGCAGTCTTAATTAAATTCCAAAGAATCGAGCGAGTGAATAACACAGAATAAAAATGCTAGGTTTCGCCACGAAATGTACTTTACAATGAATACATTAGAAATATTTCGCAGGTTTTCAGCAATTAGAAAAACCTTGCATAACAGCAAAAAAAAAAAAAAAAAAAAAAAAAGTTTATAAATATCAGTGGATCCGTGATTAATATGTGTAGATATTGATCTAAACCATTGTCTACTACTATGAAATCTCTCAAAGTTGTTGCAAAAATACTTTATTTCTGAAGTCTTTAGCAAACACATTTGCAATGCTTATATCAAATAAGGCGAAATTAATGTTTTAGGGTTTCCCTTATTTTGCATAAAAAATTATTTTAAGTTCGGTATCTTTCCTGAACCTCTTATTTTCCCCTCGCACTTCCTCGCCAGGATGCAAATTAAAGTTAAGTGAAGTGAGTATCTAAACGAGTGAATCTTGTAATTTATTCAAAGCGTGTTTTCGCTAGCCAGCTCACGTTACGAGTCTGTCTTTGCTGTTACGCGGAGTTGCTGATACGCCTTTTTGGCCATTTAATAAGTATCACGCCGGGTAGGTTATTGAGTCAACCTAGTTAACCTTAACTTAAATTGTTAGTCCAGCACTTTGTATTCGAAATTATTATGTAAACGATGCTTGAGTTCCACCGCAAGTTTTCAATATCATCGTAAGCATGAAGTACGTGCTTTTTCTGTTCAGAGTTTGACGAATAATAAAAGGTTATTTTGACACGCCTGTGAGAAAAGAAGTACTTTTGTATAAATATCACTTTAGTTTTATTGAACGATACTTGGGTTAATAATTCATGTTTTTGAAAGCTGACGTCATGGTTAATGAAATTTATAACTATATTCTTTTTTTTTTCTTTCAGCCTTCCCTCGGCTTTGGTCGCTCTGAATCTTACATAAAATTGGAGCAGCTGGGTGAAGGGTCTTATGCTACTGTCTATAAAGGGTTTAGCGAGTAAGTATCTTAAATATGAAATTGCTTGCTCTGTGGCTTGCGTATTTACTTCCACGTTTTCAAATCCATCAGTTTACTGGGAAAATAAGGTGATTTATGAATGGACTTTAATCTATCTTTTCAACGCAGATATTTTTTAATGGCAATAATAAGTGTCAAAGATAAATTTTCCTTTTATAAAACTATATTTGTTTTACTTTACAAAAGATTAAATGAAATGTTATACGAAAACAAGTAGAGCATTTATAAGATCCAAGTACAGTCACTTCCAAAAGTTAAGCACGGAGAGGAAAATGCTAATTTCCGGAAGCCAATCAGAATTGAAGAGGATGCAATTCGCTGCAGAGGTAGATGGAAGTATACAAATATGTTAGGTAACAGCCAATCGCGCTTTCATGTCATGAAATATGCAAAAAAACGTCAGTCTTATAAGAAGCCAGCTTTATGAAGGGTTACAGAAGTTGATTGTAAGTGCTTATAGATGGTGTTTAAAACTTTCGTACAATTTGTTTTCAAGACATACGTGTTTCTATGACTTCCAGAAGACGAATGGAAGATTCAGAACGCTGGCGTGCTGTGAGGCGCATTGAAGCAAGACAATAGATCACAGATGTTGCTCTTTTCTTCGGCGTTCATAATTCTGTAATTTCACGTTTATGGAAACAATTCCAAACCACACAGACAGTTGTCCGAAGGCCCATAGCCGGTCGCCCAAGCGTTACAATCCCCGCGTCAAATGGATATATTGCTATTGTAGCCAAGCGGAATCGCAGAGCGACCTCCACATGTGTGACATCTATGATTACAGCGTCCATTGGCAAGGCGATATCTGCAGCTACTGTACGCCGAAGATTACATATGAGTGGACTGTACATCCGGGTACCTCGATTTTGTGTTCCTCTATCCGTCCAATCAAGAGGGGCACGATTACAGTGGTGTCAAATGGAATGTGTCTGACTGGGGAAATGTCATGTTTACTGATGAGTCAAGATTTGCTCTGAAGCCAGATGACAAGCGTATAAGAATATGGCATGAACAACGAACACGCAACCAGTCCCAAAACATCGCCGAACATCACACATTCCGAGGCGGAAGCATTATGGTGTGGGCAGGGATTTCATTAGGATACCGCACCAACCTGCACATCTTTAAACGGGGTTCTTTGACGGCTGTCCGGTATCGAGATGAAGTCCTAGAACCCATTGTAAGATTGTACGCTGCAGCAGTTGCCTCTACTTTTGTTTTAAAGGACGATAACGCACGTCCCCGTAGAGCTGACATTGTCGATGACTACCTGGAGAGTGAAGGGATTGCGCGTATGGCGTGGCCAGTATATTCGCCTGACCTTAATCCCATTGAAAATTTTTGGGATGCTCTCGGCCGTGCTGTATCTTTACGTTTCCCACCTCCAGCCACTCTTATTGAGGTGGAAACTGCTCTACAAGAAGCATGGCGATTGCTTAATTTTGCGGTGGTTGACCACCTAATTGAAAGCATGGTCACAAGGTGTCAACTTTGTATACAAATGAGGGATGATCACATACCCTATTAATGTCCTGTTTTTTTCCTTTTATGCTGTTTATTTTCACTTTATACATAATTCTGTTTAAGTCGGTAGTATGTCATAATTTGATAATTTACAAACATTTAATATTGTTTTCATTTCTGTATATAATTATTGATTTTGTTTTATGCATAAATATATATGCTACTTTCCTGCCGAATTTTGTGTCAATCAAAGTAGTATTTGTTGATTTTTTTGCATTTTACATCTTCGTGCTTAACTTTTGGAAGTGAGTGTAGATAATATCTTTAATTGTTGGGGTAAAACTAAGATATTATCTATCTTAGTTTTAGCCCAACCATCAAAAATTTCAAACTGGATGTGGCAACAACAACTAACCTTCTTACAGTTTATCAAGAAAAATACATTAAACTAGATTTTTTTAAGAATGTTTTACTTCATAAATATTTTTCATTCTAATTACTTTTTTGTATGTAAATTCGCAACCAAATTATAATGAGCTTCCATATAATGATTACTGTTTTAAATTTTCGTATTACACAGTTTTAAATGTTAAAAATTAAAAATTTTAAATTCAATATTTTAAATTGTTTTGAATGAAATTTCCTTCCTTTTAACAATGGTCGAAGACCTTACTACTTAAATACTTGAAGATTTGATGTTTATAACGTATTGAAATGCCTTTTATGCCTTTTCTGTACAAAATACTGTACGTGACGAGGGTGTTTTACGAAATGCGAACCATACAGCAGGCTTGGCATGAATGATCTGAAAGTAATTTCCTCCTGTACATTTCACCCAAAGGAGAGGGGGAAAGAAAGTTTCCATAGGAAAAAAAATAGATTTACCGCTATTTCCTATGCTTGGAAATCGAGAAAAGTGGTGCGCCAAAAATGCAGAGTTTGCTCTCTCTGAAGTAGGAATTCTTCATTTCATTCGAATGCTGGGCAGGAGAAGCCTGAAAATTTCCATCGAAACGTTGCATGCATAATCAATTCTCAAAGAAATCCCTTCTTTCCGCTGGGTGGTCAGCAGTCATATTATTTTTTTATCTCTCTGTCCAGGAGGGACTTTGTAAAAGATAAGGAAGTATATTCACATATTTGCTTTCCTCAGATCCTAGAGCAGTTTTTCATCTCGTGACCATGACGTTTTTAACCATCATGTCAGCTTAAATATGCGCATGTGTTGAAGTATTTAACTGCAGTCGCTTGTTACATTATTACAGCAAATATTTTACTTTACTTTATAAGATATTTCTCCCACTTCCCTAGCGTGCCTTCGTGGTGTAATGGTAGCACGCTGGGCCGGTATTCCAGAGGTCCGTAGTTCGATTCCCGGCGAAGGCGGTTGCATACTTTTCATCTTTTCTGCTTACAATTCACCTAATGACTCTTCAAGTGGCGCCCGAACTGAAAGGGTTGTGGATGATGATTCTCCGCACCCAGGATTTGGCGACTAGGTCCCCTAAAACCCTAGTCGCCCTTTAAAATGGGGTGTATATAAGGTATTTCTCCCACTTCCCTAGCGTGCCTTCGTGGTGTAACGGTAGCACGCTGGGCCGGTATTCCAGAGGTCCGTGGTTCGATTCCCGGCGGGGGCGGTTGCATATTTTTCATCTCTCTGGCTTCCAAAAAATCCTAATGACTCTACAACTTTTCAGAGTGGAACTGAACTTACATCAAAGAAATACAAATTTAGAAAAACTAATTACAAAAGCATAGCTATTTCAATATAATTTACAAAAAAAAAAAAAAAAAAAAAAAAAAAAATAAATATATTTCATTTTCTTTGCGAGAGTTCTAGAATAGGGTTTTTTACATTACGTCATTGTTTGAGTTCGAGAAACAGTCATATGAGGCAACATTTTAACTTTTAAATGCAATGAGTTCATGTAATAGATCTTCTAACAAAATAGAATTTAATACATTATAAAAGGATCGTCATGTATATATTTATTTCCTTTCAAATATTTGAAAATATATGTCTAATGCTGAAATGATTAACTTTGTCAAATTGTAACAAACATTCCTTGAATATTTTATTCTCTGATTGGTATGCTGACTTGAAAGCTTGGTCCTTTGAAATTGTTGTTGAAAATTCCTGTGCACGCGATCATGAAATCGGCTAGTCATCTGAAACGTACATCCGGGCGCTTTCGATCGCAGCTGCAAACTTTGAATTTTATTGGAAAATACAGCAAGGGGTAAGTCACTGAAACGTGCCTTTCCGTTCCGCAATGTGAAGCTACAGTTTATTGCTTTAGGTGTGAAAATGGCCTTCCCCGATTTTCAGGAAAATGCGCATTTAAGCCCGAGATATAAAGCCATTCTTTTCACAGTTTTGGTACCGCCTTCTTCAGATAAAGATTGTGTTTAGTAATAAAATTAAAATTAAGCCATTAAAAAGAAGTTTTGACTTTATTATTTTGCCAGATCTATCATTTTTGGTTTATCGTATTAAAAGTCGCTTAAAGTATCACTGCTCGATGCAGGGAAGTCATGGATTGAGTGGAACAGTTTAAGAAAACTTGTACAACTATTATTTCATATAGTTCATATATTTATTATAGCCCTCGAAACTTTGCCATAATCACATAAACCGAACCAAACCACACTTTTTGAAGCGCTGATTCTTGCATGATCTTTGAGAAATTCTATAAGATCAGTTAAAACAGGCATATTCTTTTTCCTAATTTTCTCTACCACCATATTTTGATGCTAGGATCTAATTTTTTCCCTAAAATGTATGCACATGCCACGGCGAATCAGAATCTCTTTGCCCCTAATTTTGTAGCCAAATTATGGCTGTAAATGCGAAGTAAAAACATGTATGCCCAGCGGTGGACCTTTTGGGGACCATATCTGCCGATAATTGCACGACACGCCGCTGCTGTTAGTTTGAGAAGATGGCGGTTATTCTTCACACATCTACGGCGTACAAGCAAATAATTGTGATTCGTTTTCTATGGAGCCAGGGACGAACGCCCATCGAAATCCACAAGAAAATGCAGCTCGCATATAGAGAAAAGTATCTCGCTTTGAGAAGTTTGAGGTGGTAGTGATATGAGATGGCAAAATGCCGTGATGACTTGCATGATAGTAAGCGCTCGGGGAGGCTGCGGTCGTCGCATACTGGCGACATTTCCCGTATGGATGCAATGTTCAAAGCAGATTTGCGCCTCAAGAACATTTCCTGGGATATTGACATTTCGTGTGGGAGTGTTAACGACATCGTTCTCGAGTCCTTAGGTTACCGGTTTCATGTTGGTGGGTGCCTAACCTGTTCGATGACATGATGGAAGGAGAGCGATTGACGAGCCAGTTTCCCTTAGAAAGTCCTCTACGAAGACATCCCTCCCCTTAGGCGGATAGCCCTCGAGGCTTTGCCATAATCATACAAACCAAACTATTACAGTATAGATGAAGTATGGTTGCAATGTATTACATAAACATTGTAGTTACTTTCTGTTTTG